TTTTTTTTTGACATTGTCTCGTATATTTAAATTGAACAGAGAAATAATACTGATGACGCCGTCGTAGTTATACAATCATACATTTATATATACATAACAGAACAATATGATATGCGCGTAGTGAACGAACAAACGAACGAATGAATGAACATGATCCGCTTATGGGCGTGTGTACTAAGCAAAAGACAGAGTATAGGCGGTGAACAAGGAGGAGTAAACGGGAACAATCGCCAGTTCTTTTTCTTCTTTCTCTGTCTCTCTCTCTTTCATTCTCTTGCGTTTTTTTCATTATGTTCACTAACTCGTACACATACACCTTGTCTTTACTTGGTCAAACAACAATAGAGATTGATGATGATGATCAACTATCTGGACATTTGATCGTATACACAAAAGATCTACTCATCATTAGTATAGAGTAAAAGGTCTTGATAACACAAAAAAAAACAACATAGAGAAAGAATGTATCATTATAGACAACAAATAAAAGTCAATTGTGAGTAATAAAATAAAATTCTTGTGTTTTTTTTTTAGTTTTTTCTTTGAAACATGACAAATAAAATATATGATTTTACATATTAAGTAATTAATGTTTTTTTTCCTTCTTGTTCTTCTTTTGTTGTTTGTCTGATGACAAAAAAAACCTAAAATCATAATTTCACGCCTCTTCATTTGCTTCTATCAACAGAACACCTGCTAATAATTCTAATATGTAGTTGTTTTCGTGTTCTGCATCGTTGATAATCTTTTTTTTCGTTTCTTTCAACCAGTACGTGTTCACCTGTACGTATATAAACTCCATAGAGATATATTTAGATAAGTCAATACCTTTTCTTTTTTTTTCTCTCTCACAGATTTTGATCTATATACATATATTTGCGTTCTCATATATACTTATTTTTATGACAAATATGAGTCATTATGTAGACATGCTCCTGTTTGATAAAAATTAATCATAAAATATTTATTTTATTACTTCGACTCATTTAGACCAAATGGCGGCTCCACCGAGTGCATCAACACCGCCTAAATCTCGTGGTCATACTTTATTTGATCGTCAAGCAGAAAGACATGCACGTGATTCTAATGCATCCAGTAATCCTCCAGCAACTATTTTTGATATACCCTTACCACAATTAAAACCAGTTCATTCTATCACATCAGCATCTACTACAGCATCGGCTATGATATATCGTCAACCTCCACATAATCAATATTCACCATTACTTACTCATCGTCGATCACCTTTATCATCTTCCCAATGTAATTTTAATTCAAACGAAAATGTTCAATTAATTAGTGTACAACCTCGGCCTGAATCAACTTATATTAAAGAATGGCCATCACCACCACCTCTTCCATTAAAAAAATCTGAACCATTACTTGAAACGGATTTTCCATTAATTGAAAATTCAACAATACCTACGAGTAATTCAATGCCAAGTGATTCATTATGTTGTGCTATGGTTGAACAAGCATTTGATTATTTACAAAATCATGATGATAATGATGATGTTGTTTATAAAAGAACGTCATTACAAAATGTTGATGGTTCTGATAATGAAGAAAATTCTGAGGGTAACGATAGTGTAGATACAATTGATCTTGATGCAACAACAAGTACAAATCATCAAAACGATAGTAAGTTAAATTATTTATCCATTAACAATAGTGTTTTTTTAAAAGTTAATTTTCTTTTCGAATTTTTGTATGAAAGTCTATTTACTCGAGACGATTTAATCATTAAATGAGAAATTTGTGGCTTCGTTATGTTTTCTTTTGTTTTTTTTCTCTATCGTTCAAATATACATACAATATTAAACATCGCTTAGGTATGTGTATACATAAGCATTCTTAATGATCTTATGAGCGTGCAACTTCTCCATTCTTTCTCGTTTGCTCTCAACTATTTTTTTTTCTCTTTCTCGTAATTTCATCAGATAAAGTGCACGTTCAAACTTCCTTTTTTTTTTCTTCGAAAAGATAAAACAAAAAGTATCAATTACCGAGTTTACATAAGCAAGAAGAATTTTTTTGTTTATATCCACTTTGACATAAACTTAATTATAATTAAAAAAACAAAAAGAACTTTTATCCTTGAATGGTTGATCTTTTGTATATAAAGAGAAAAACATTTTTGACTTAGATTTGTTTTTTTTGCATATCTATTTAAATAAATTTCTAGAGTGACACTTTCATCATAGTCAAGGTCTTTTGTTTTTTCCCCTACTAAGTAAATAGATTCCGATAGATGATTGCATTATTGTCATTCGCGTTCTTCTTTTTTTTTGTCTTCTCTCTCTATTATGGATGTTCAAAATGGGTTAGATAAAACAATGAATTCATAGGAACGACATGCACACACACACACGAGAAAGAATAGATAAAATTATCATGAAGATAATCGATATAGATGAGCTTAACATAGATAAAGTTCAAAATCATTTGTCGGTAATAATAATGAGTTCAGAGTGACTTTGTAAACAAATCGAATACAACCATCATTTATTTATTTATTTTAATTCATAATTGAAATATAATTTTAGGTGGTATTCATACATTATCATCATCACGAGGAAATAGTGAAAAACAACATGATAGTCAAGAAAAATTAACTGATCATCAATCTCCAATGGCATCATCATCACGTGGTACAGCTAGTGAAGATAATGATAGTGATTTTGATAATCAATCTCATGAAGATGATATTGATAATGAAGAAGAACAAAATACTAGTCGTAAACCAAACGAAGATTCAACTAATGAAGAAGAAGAATCACAAAAATTATTAATTGTAATAAAATTATTCTTATTAACTTATTTCTGTAATAGAATTGTTTATTTAGTTACGACAACAAAAAATACTTTGGGATATTGAACAAGAATGGTTACGAAAAGAAAGAAGTTATATTGAACAATTAGAAAAATTGGATAAACAGGTAAATTTCAGAATTTTTTGTTTTTACTCATTATTTCTCATTTTTCGTTTAGTTCAATTCGATATCAATACCAATTAATTTACAAACTTCAATTCAACAATTAATTACTCATCATAAAACTGTTTGTAAAGAAATTGAACTTTTATATGAACGTGATCATCGTCCACCAAATCTAACTAAACAGTTAACATGTGCCATTGAAGCATTAGTATATACCTTTTTTTCCTGTCTAATATTTGAACAAAAAAAATCTGTTTTCATAGATGCAAACACTTTCAATCTACGATGATTATATCAAAGCAAATTTAGCACCGATAAGAAAAGCATTAGACAAACGTCCAATGAATAATGGCATGTCTAGTGAAGGTAAATTAATGATTATAGACCCATATTTTTTAAATCAAATTTTAATAGATCTTTTATCAATACCTACTAAACAATTTCTTCAAATACTTTCACAAGTACAAGTAAGAATTTTTTCTTGTAAAATTTTGATATTAAAATTGTTTTTTTTAGGATTTACATAAAACAGCTCAATCTTTTGAAACAAGTGATCAAGAAAGTTTAACGAAATTATATAATTACGCCCAACGATGTAAATTATTTGGTGTATGTATTGAAAGTTCAAATGTTTAGTTCTATTAATATTTTATTTTTAAAAATCTAGATTCGACAAGATGAAAATATTAATAAAATTATTTTAAAGAATGAAGATGTTGCTCGAATGATCTCAAAAAGTTCTCGTGATCGTTGTCGTCTTATTCTTTATCCGGATGTTATTGTTTGTTGTTACTTAAAAACAAAATTATTAGCAAGGTAGGTTAAAAAGAAAAACTCGTAGTTTGTTTTTGAAATGATAAAAAGAAATTTTTTCGTAATGATCATTTCATACTTTAAATATCAGACATGACTATATTATTTACATAAAACAGCCTACAATAATTAGAAATTCTAAACATATTTTTAGCCCAAAATACGCACTCCATTGGTTTATTCCAATGATTGATCTTCATTGGACAATACCACAAAGCCCTTCTGATGATAATACAAAAACCGGTGGTAAGTCCTTTTTTTTTTGTTTTATATTCAAATAAAAATCGAACTTTATTTTTTATGGTAGATGAATTAAAATTACACTTAAAAACAGCTTACAAAGAATTAGAAAAAGCACCAAAATCAAGTGTAAGTTGAATCATTGAAAAAGATAATAGTTGAATTTTTATTCTAGAATAATGTTGCTTCTCGTTTATCAAAAAATATTCGTCGACAAGAAAACGAATATAATTTATCTCAATCAAAATTACAATTAATTCTTTCAAATTCATCTTCATCAATATCATCTGTCATACTTTTTTCATCGGCATATCAACGTCAAGATTGGCTTGATTTAATTGATAAAACTAAACAAGAACTTGTTCAACGTAGTTCAACATTAACAGATCCTGTAAATACTCATCATCAACGTTTAACTGAAAATCTTATTCAAAAACGTCTTGATCTTATTAAAGCAAATTCACAAGATTTTGCTTCTTATGAACCATCATCAATATCAAAACAAAGTAAAACATATTCCGGTACATTACATATAACAATACACAGCATACATGGTTCAGCATTATCGAATCCAGTACGACAACAACCAACATTACCAATTTTAACATCGTCTACAGATAATAATTATCAATTTTATGTTGCTGTCGAAATTGATTCCTATAATACATTTTTTCCATATGCACAAACGGCTAAACGATCAATGCAACAACATGAATCAGTAGAATTCAAAGGCGAAGTATGAAATAATTACATATATATTTACGAACTTGAAGTTTATTTTCAATGACTCTTAGATAAAATAATGTATGACCGAGGGAGAAACTTGAGATTTAACGTACGTGATAATCTTAAAGTTTGTTTGAAAAAGAAATGTCAATAGTACTTGAATAATTTAAACGATTTGCAGCAGTTTTATATCATGTCAAGAGATGTTCTTTAAATTTCTGAGATTTAGATAATTTTGTTTTTGTTTTTATTACATGCATCAAATAATCATACGAAAATTCTATTTCATAGAAATGTCAACCTTATTTTTACTATTCAATTAGATGGCCTAAAACGGTATATTTTATCTCTATTTATGCATGATGACTATTCTTTTGACTACTGGTTCTATCTTTTTATTTTGAATTATGATAACAAAAAAATGTTTATTTTAGGTATTTCAAGTTGAATTAGAATATTCACTTGCATTCCGTTTACTCATCTATCGTATTGATACTGTAACAACAGGTAATCCTACGAGTAATTCACAACGTGCACAATGTATTGGTAAATTTCATCGAAATGTATGTTTTTTTCATGAATAATTGGTTTTATAAATAAACAAATTTTCTTTAAGATTGAAACTGCATTACAAGATTGTGATCGTAATAGTAATGGAATATTAACAATTGATTCACCATCTGGTGATTTAAAATTGAAAATTTCATTAAAATATTCCAAACGTGAAGGTACATTTAAAAGACAAGGATCAAAACGTAATCTTGCTGTATTTGGCAAAAGTATTGAAAAATTAATAGAAACACCAAATGGATGGTAATATTCAAATAGGATTAATCTCTTATTGTTATTGTTATTTTTTTAGTATCGATGGTATTCCACGTCTCATTGTAAAATGTATTGAAATGGTTGATCGTGATGGTTTAAAAGAAACAGGTATTTATCGTGTTTGTTGTGTCACATCTGATTTACAAAAACTTCGTCATCAATTTGATCGACATTATCATCGTGGTGAAGAATTATTAGCCGAAAAAAATGTTCATGTTGCAGCTAATTTATTAAAATTATTTTTTCGTGAATTACCTGAACCATTATTTACAAGTACACTTTATAAGCAATTCCTGCATGCTATACAATTAAAAGATAGTGATAATCAACGTGTAACACTATTAAAAACACTTGAATTATTACCTGGAAATAATCGAAAAATTTTATTTCATTTATTAGATCATCTAATACGTGTTAGTGAATTTTCGCATATAAATATGATGCATTTAGATAATCTAGCTGTTGTATTTGGACCTACATTAATGAGGCCATCAAAATTACTCATGACAAATTATTTTTCAGGTAGTAATCAACGTTTAAATGTTGCTGGAGGAAATAATGGACAAACAGATCTTGATCAAATGTCAGCTGAATTACAAGGTTCAATGCATCAATGTGAAGTTGTACTTGCATGTTTAAAATTAAGACGAGATAATTTATTGAAATAAATATCTTTATATTTACAGTGAAAGAATGATTGAAAGGAAGATTAACAAAAAAAGAGCTTTGCTGTATTTTTTTTTTTCGTGTTTTGCTTTTTCATTTGTATCCAGCAGTGGCATTCAAGTTTTCTTTTTTTCTCTCTCTTCAATTTATTGTTTTCTTTTTTCTACTCCAATAAAATGATACTGATATATTGTACATGAATATCTAAAATGTTCAAAAATTCAAAGAAATTATATATTGTTTTTATTGACTAAAGGAATTTAAAGAAAAAGTAAATGTTCACATATTGACACATACAGTGTTACTCATTTTTTCATTTGATATGTTAATCAAACAGTATGAAGAATGTGCTAGAATGATCATGCATTACAATCGAAGCGTCATCTACTGACGTTTTTTGCCAATTCTTTACTTCATGGAAGGAATACGACAGTTTTTCTTTTTATGATTCTGTCGGTATATACTTATCTCTATTCTCTTTCTTCAAGAGAACCTCGTCCAATTAATACACGAACGCAATTTTTTTTCTTTCTTTCTTTCTTTCTGTTGGGTTCCAGTATCACGAGAAAGAAAAAAAGAGAACTGACATTCAACAATCTCACTGAGCAGACGTGTTTACTCGTCAGAAGAGTAGAGAAAAAAAAACAATCTCATGTGTTACTATGATGATTCGTTATTGCTTGAGTCATAGCTATTCAACTTGAGCATGAATAAATCTTAACCCATATATATATATACACATAATCAATCGATTTTTAGACAAAATAAACAATAATACAAAATTATGAGTCAGCATATCAAAACGGGGCATCTTCGGTACTTTTATAGTAAGTATAAACAATGATATTTTCAATAAATATTTTGTCATTCGTTTACCTAGAGGGTTTATTATCAAAGAAATGGAAAGATTATTATTTTGTTTTATTTGATGATTCAACATTACAATGGTATGAAAAACAAAGTGATCGAAAACCTGAAGGATCAGTACGTATTCGTACTATAGCACAAAATCTTTGTGTTGGACCATATACAAGATGTTTATCTAATCGACCATCACTTCCTCGACCAACTGATGAAGCTAATCTTATTGCTTTACCACGATCTACAACTGGACATCATGATCAGGAAATTATATGGATTCTTTGTAATGATGTTACACATCTTAAGTAATTATATTCAAATTTATATTATTCTATTTATTTTAATTTGTCATTTTTTAGTGATTGGATGAAAGCAATTGTATCTACAGTAGGTTAACGTTATATAATAGTAGTAAAAGTTAGATTCTGTTTTACTTAGTTACCTCCTCCACCTCAACAAGCTCAGCCACCACCTTCTCAACAGCAAGGCAATTCTGGTGGACCTTCTGCTCCTCCATCATCAGGTCCTCCACCTCGTATGTATTTATTTTTACTGAACGACTTTAGTAATATTAAAATACTAATTTCATTTTTAGCTTATTCATCATCATCAGGTTCCTATCCTCGACCACAACAACAACCACAATCAATGTATCCTCAATTGAACAGTAATCAACCACCACAACAACAACAATATCGTCCACCGTATGGTGGTACTGGTTCATCAAGTTATCAACAACCCGCTTATGGTGGTGGTCATACAACAGTAGTCGTACAACCTTCTCCCACCTATGTTACTGGTGGTGGAGGAGGCGGCTATGGTGGTTATGGAGGAGGTGGCGGAAGCTCATTGGGTGGTGTCGGATTAGGTTTAGCTGGTGGAGCACTACTTGGTGGTAAGATTGTTTAAGATATTTGTCAATAGAATATTTAATTTTGCTTTTATCTTTAGGTGCTCTTGGTTACGCATGGGGAGGCGGATTCGGTGGTGGTCATGGAGGTTGGGGTTATGGTATGGGACACTCTGGATATTACGGAGGCGGTGGTTATGGGTAATTTTCTAAATTGATTGAATTAAATATATATGATTGATTTTCTTTTAAATTTCTAGTGGATGGGGTGGGGGTAATGACACAACTGTCGTTAACAACTAGTATGTCTATTACATTTAATTTTTACAAGCTATTCATGTTTTTTTCTTCATCTAGTTATGATAATGATACAACAAATAATTACACGAACGATACAACAAATAATGATTATTCAGCTTATAATGATACAAACAATTATAATGATCAACAATCGGACAGTTTTCAATATGACACCAATGATAATGGTGGAAATAATGATTATGGAGGTGGTGCAGGTAAGATGAAAACTCTAAGATATACAATATGATTTAAATTTTTATTTATAGATTATGGCGGTGGTGATAGTTTTGGTGGTGGAGATTATGATGGTGGAGATTTCGGTGGTGGTGGTGGAGATGATTTTGGCGGTGGAGGAGATTTTGGTGGTAAATAAATAAACTATTGATTTTTATTAACAATTTATATTTATTTTTATTTAGGCGGTGATTTTGGAGGTGGAGGTGGCGACTGGTAACATATTTCAAATATCAGTGATTAAAATAAACAAAACACTGCTTCGTGTCAAGTATTTGTGTATATAATGATCAGAAAAAATTTTTGTATTTTAAATTACTCATTATCTCTAAACACGCTTTTTTGTTTTTCTTCTTGTTTATTATATTTGACTGTATGTTATATTAAATATTATTCTAATTGAATATTTTAGAAATATTTTTCATGATAAACAAACGAAAGAATGAAAAGATGTCGTATTAAATAACAAGTTTATTTATTATTGATATAACAGATTATATGTTTAATACATTCTTTAAAAAAACCTATTGTTATATTTGATCAATTATTATTGAACTATTTACTTCGAATTGAGATTGTAATACACTATTTAAAAAGTATAGTTTACTTGCATGAAAGTTACAGTGATATATTTTCTAAGAACGAGAAAAACATGATGTTAACAAATGAGAAGAATTTAATTTCTCTCATAAATGTACCCGTTTCTTAGACATACAATAGAAAAGGAAAAATAACATGTGTTAATAATAAATAGTCTTGTATGATATATAACACTTGAAAATATACAACTAAACTAAAAATAATATTGAATTGTATCACGTTTACTTTTAAATATATTTAAAAATCATGCAAATTTATTTTGTTAGTATTGTCTCTATATCATATATTTAATTTTAAACTGAAGAAATAAAAAATTAACTATCAATATGTCTATATTATAGTACTAAAAACATAATTACATGTACATTATCATAATACTTTTACTTCATTATGCCATCAACAACATTCTATTATTTATCTATTAAAAGCTTGATATAATTCATTGGCCTATAGAGAAAGAACTGTTACTTTTTTTTAAATGTCGACTAGTGTAATTAAAAAAATTATAATGACAAGTTTTATAAGACATGTCAGAAAAACATAGAAGCTTAACTTCTTTATCATCTGCTTGCAATTCGAAGGAAAATTCTGTATATTATATACAAAATATAAAAAGGTTTTAGAAAGTTGTTGAATGTATTCACAAGGATCATTAATAATCCTATATTTTGTTAGGCTATTATTTACTCGGTCAGCAAAAACTATGAAAATGAGCAGTAAAAAGCTTAGTTGGTTAGTATTCCGATTATCACTCATTTAAAAAGAGGATTAAAGAGATTTTGATTTTCACTATGTTTTCAATTGAACTAGCAATTAAAATAAAGTAACCTTATAAAAACGAACTTCGTACCGGTGATCATGAAATGCGTTTTTCTGAGACTTGCGTTGAGAATTGAGGTGCTCGATATCTCTTTGGACTCCTTGTCTCGAAAAATTATTAAATATTTATTTAAATAGGGAAAAATACTGGAATTCATTAACATTGTCCTATTTCGATCGATTAAAATCAAATTTTTGTTAGTCTTCTGTTTACAAGAGTGATAATCTAAATACTGACCATTTCAGTTATGTTACTGACCGATAAATAATTTCCCATTTTATAATATCGAACTCGTATATTTTATTTAACTAATCAATTAATAATCGTCTGATTTATGAATAGCAGATCTTTTATTCGTGCAGACAAGAAATACGTTATTGAAAATATTTTTTTTAGTTTCATTCAGCTTTATTATCATATTGACAAACGAAAGTTAACAAATCTCAGTAAGAAATATTGTAAACTATATAATGAATCTTTTCAATAATGATTTGAACATATAAAATATGTAAAAAGGTATACTATTACTTCTATGATAAAACTATGAGAAGATCGAATGATACATCTTTTATCTTATTGAAACTATGACATTATAATTTTTTAAAATCAGGCACCAGTGTTTCTTTCAGGCATATGCAAATACACAATGAAGAAATTCACTTTCGTAGCTCTCTATCTCTATCGGACAAAAAAAATAGTTCAGTGATATTATTTAATTACTTCACCTTCAAATAGATTATCGATCGTTTTTTTCTCCGAGAATCAGTTAGAGGGCGCTGATTACCAACTTCTATTTTATCTTTTAATTCACAATGAATTCAATTGGTCTATAGATAAATGACGGTTTACCTTCTTCCAATTGGCATCATTCTTCATTCTCAATCTCTTACCCATTCATCTTTATTTAAAGCCAAAAACTTCAATCAAGTTTTTGTTCTTTTACAATCAAAAAACTTACCATCTTTTATTTCTAATCAAAAAACAAAACAACACATTAATAAAATTTTTATCCCCTGTTTTCATCATGGCTTCAACAACAACAAAAACAACTGACGATTCAACAACAACATCAGCAAGTTTTGAAAAACGTCTTACAACTGTTAATAGTACACAAGAAAGTGTTCAAACATTATCATTATGGATTTTATATCATCGTAATCAATATGAACATTTATTAAAAACATGGTTTAAAGTTTTAAAAAAATCGAAACCATCACATCGTTTAACATTATTCTATGTTGCTAATGATGTTATACAAAATGCTAAAAAACATAATGCTTTAGTTTATAATCAAGCATTTAAACCATATTTAAGTTCAGCAATGATTCATGTTAAAGAAAATGGTATTAGAAAAAAAGTTCAACGTATACTTGAAATATGGCGTGAACGTGGTGTTTATGATGAAGATTTTATTGATGAAATATTAAAAAAACTTTTAGGTACAGAAGTTTATGAAAAAGATAAAGAAGTTACACGTGTTATTGCAGAATTTCAAGTAAAGCGAAAAATGATTTTTTTTCTTATATTATTAAATTATGTCCTTTTTTTTGTTTGTAGCCAAAATTATTATGTGAATCATTAATTCGTTTTAAACAATTAGAAGCAGAAACACTTGTTAAAGAACAAATGATAAATAATGATTTAAAAATTATTGATGGAATGTCAATTGAAAGTGTTCGAAAATTAAAAGGTTAGATAGATTAATTAAGAATAAAAAAAATCAATGTTTTTGTTTTTAGATACAACATCAACTGATGCATTTCATCTTGAATATGAAAATAGCCGAGAAAAATTTCAAGATTATGTTCGATATTTTGAACGTGTTTTACAAGAACGGAAAAATTTAAAACAATCTTGTGAACAAGCAGAAATATTTTATGATGCACAATATCAAGATGCAAATATTGTTGTTGAAGTTTGTATTTGTTACTTTTCATCGAAAAAATAATTCATCGTTTGTTTTTTCAAGGCGTATAAAAATTTTGGTGATAAAGTAGCAACATTAAAGAAAAAACTTGATAGTTTAATAAGAGATTTACCTGAAATTGTATCATCACCAACTGGAGATAATGTACCGTCACCTGGTAAGAACAAAATTAAAAAATTATTTATATATTTAAATGAATATGCTAAGATTAATATATATATATATTAGTATACCCAAAGAGGTTTTACTTCAGTAGCGGCTGACAACATATCCTAAGAGCTTTTCGGACAATAGATGTTGAGCATTCTGCTAGTTACAATTGAATGCTTGGTGTCAATACTAATGATTTCAATTGTTTCAAAAATGCAGCATCGTAAGTTAACAGGATTATGAGAAAAAACAATTTGCTGCGAATGTGTTTTAGGAATCAATATAAGTGACATTTAAAAGCACGTGCTCGAAAATCTTCTCCATATATTTTCTTTATAAAAAAACAATATGTTACTATCGTTAGCTATTGTAGTTTGATGTTTTTCGAACAATTTATTTTACTATTTGAAGAAGAAGATTAGCACTACTATAAATTACATCGAACTAGAGGATAAAATCAAAGATCTCTAAATATGTTGAACATTTTGTTTTGACTCGAATATCTTAAATAGATGATTCATTACGAAGTTCAACGAAAAGTCTAATCAAAAATTAGAATCGATGAAGTCATCATTCAACTGACTTGTAACATTTAATTAACTCTTTGAGGCCCATTATTCAATCTATGAATGCAGTCTCTTTAAAACTTGATATTTCGTATGAGCATTGGGTATTATAGATACTTTAAAAAAATATTTCAACTTTTAGCCGGGTTTCTCCACGGAAATATGTTACCCATTTCCTCGGAGGTGTACGAACGGGAGCCAAAAAACTGACTCAGTAACCTTAGTAGGGTTTTTAATTTTACATAAATATATGCATCCAAATCGCTTCTATGTCGTAGTGCGAGCCCCAGTGATACCCAAAGAGTTAAGATGTTTTTATCAATAAACATAATAATTCTATTTTTAGGAAATACTCCTCCTGATTATCGTCAAACTGATATGGATTTATCTGATAATGAAGAAAATAATTGTAAGTATATCTAGCTGTTGTTTTTTCTCTCGAATAATCAATATCAATATTTATTTCATAGCACAATCTCCATCAGATCGACCAGCAAGTAAATATTATTTTTGTTTGTTTTTTCTCAACATAAATTTTCTAATCATAATTTTTCGCATAGTTGTCCGAACAACACGTGCAGATCCTCGTCATCATCGTAAACATATTTTACATCGACATCAATCATCACAACAACATTTCGATGATGCTGATGAACGATCAAATAAAGATAATTCAAATCAATCACCTTTACTTAATGGTGATAATAAAACAACATCACAAGTATATTTACTTTCTTTTTTATTATTAATAAAACTAATATTGATTATATTTCATTTAGCAAACACCAATGATTGATGTTAATCTAATAACTGATTTACTTATTAAACATTCACAATCTACTGGTTTTGAAAAAAGTCTTGAAATGCTTACACAAACATTACGACAAATAACTGATCCAAATGTAGTTTCAATTCCAACAACAACCACAGCTCCTTCTTCTTCTTCTAATTCTACTTCTCAACCTTCCAGTCAATATTCACAATCAAATCCATTTGAAAATCTACTTATGAAACGTTTACAACCACCTATACCTACACCTGTAGTACCACAAGTTTGGTATAATCCAGCAGCTCCTCAAACATATCCAACACCTGTTCCACCATTCTATCCACCAACTAATCAACATCCATCAAATACATCCATGGATTATCATTCTCAACAACAATATCAAAATCAACGAAACTAAATAGCTATGTAATTGACATTTGTTTGTTTGATGTTTTTTCTTTTTCCTATTTTTGTGTTCACTATGCATATATATTGTATATATATCAAATAAAAGAGAGAAACGAAAGAGAAAAAAAACTAAACTCAAATATTAATTTATCGAGAAGAGATCTATTATGCGGGAAATCATATTAGAATTAAGAAGATTATTATTTGTAAAAAAATCAAAGTAAGAAACATCGAGAAAAGGTGTTTTATGATTAATTCTTTTTACATGAAGAAATATAACATCTGTTCAATCTCAATATACTGTTCCTTCGAGAATACCAATACCTTGAAAGAAACAGAAGAAAGATGATTCCATTTCTTGTATGAACGATAGATTATAACATCTTTTCTTTTCTAGAAAAAGTTTAGACATAGGATCATGTTTATAGTATTAATATTGCATAAGTAATTGGAAGTGTGGAATATATTTTAAGAGTGTGAAATTATATAACTATCACAATGAAGTTGAAACATGATGCTTTACAAAGTTAGGATTGCATTTAAAAAATTTTTAGCACTCTAATTGAAATATAACAAGTATTATCATATAAAATAAAACGTTAATCTTAGATTTGTTTAGGTCATACACAAAAATTCGTTCATGATCGAATGAACGTTTACTTATACATAAAAATTTAAAGATGGCAATTATCGGTCAGAAATTCGACTATATAAATAATGTGCCAGCTGTTGTCATACTTTTATATGTAATCAAAATTTGAACAAAGAAGAAGTTCTCACATACATTCATTATATTCTACGCAATGTATTTTTTTTTCTATTTTTAAATAATGATTGAGTACGGTAAGTGAATGGGAGAAGAAGAAGAGAATTTTCTATAATTATTAAGCGCATTAATAATAATGAAACGAGAATATAGCACGTTATGCAGTCAGTCGTCGTCTTTTTTTTTATGAATTCAATCGACACTATAATAAAAAGTGATGAGAAACAGTTGATTAATTATTCTATTCATGAATTCGATCGAACATAGAATTTACCAAGTCATATATGAATCAAATCATTGTTTGTTGACCTTTATTTGATATATTACAGGGAGTAATAGAATTATAGGCATCCCTATGTCATAGTTACAAAAAAAAGAACAGCTATTTTTTCATATACAATATAGGAAAGAAGTTAAAAAGGCGACTACAAATTTTTGATCCAGGAAAAAGACATATGTAGGTTTGTAGTAAAAACTGTTTTCTGTCGAATGGTATATATACTATCAAATTCTATTGCTCACTGTAAAAATTGATTTTTACCTTGAAATCAACACTGAGATTTTCTGTGAATACGACTTTCTTTTGTGTCCAAGGACCTCTATAAAACATTAATTGGACCCTCAAAACACATCAGTTTGCAGAGAAAATGCCAGAAAACAAAACCATCGCCTCAAAAAAAAATTTAATGTAAGAAATGAATTATAAGCAAGCAATTTAGTTGACTCCGATGCAGGTCTCTAATTGGCTTGAGTTAAAGCCAGAAAACAATTTTTACGATGCGCAGCAGAATTTGATAGTACATACACCATTCCATAGAGAAAAATTTTCTCTACAAACTTATATGTCTTTTTCCCGAGTCAAATTTTACTGTGAAACTTGTAGTCTTCTTTTATTTCTTCCGTGTAAATACAATCAAACTGAATACATAATAAATACTATTATTATTATTTGTATTGATACAGTATATATTTCATTGTCCAATTTTCACTGAAAAGAAAATGCGTGCTTATTCGATCATATCTCGAGTATCATTATATGCATGAAATAATTCTAGTGACTATCATCTTATCTACTTTAATTAACACATCTTATGATTATATAATAGTTCAATTCTAATTGGTACCGTCATTTTAGTTCTCTTCAAACGTTGTAAAATAATTAACTTATTCACGATATTTTATTTTTCCGTTTATTGCGATATAAGACCCTCAGATATATCAATAAAACTTAGAATTGAACAATCTATTATTTTTTTCAAGTGGAAGGTACTTCATCTACCCTTTCGATCCTATATAATGACAAATGCTTTTTTTTAAAGGAAGTATCTTGTTTTAACAGTTATTAAAAGAATCGATGCTTTTACAAATATGTATCTAATTCCATATAGAAAAAGATTGATTTTTAACTATGTTCTTACTCGTGAACCACCTTTTCTTTTCTTTTTCTATTTGTTCATTAATTACTATTAAGGTGAAACTAGAAAAGAAAAAAAAAGAGAGAAGAAAAAGAAGTAGAAGAAAAAGAAGATAAGGTTACTACATCTTTTAAATATTTGTTCTTTTCTCTCCTTGTAATCATTCATATGTTATAGAACAAAACTTAATAAAATACTATATTAAATCAAGAAAAGAATTGAATACAAAGCCTAGAAAAGAAAGATGCTGAGAAATGGTGCAAGCGTCAACAATGCCAATTACACAACGTTTCTTTATTCATTTTATAATTGCTGTTACTATATTTTCCTCTATTATTTATATTCTATTTCGTTATAATTATCAACAAACAACTTCAATTTATACAACTATAAATGCTGATTATCGTCGACGACCAGAATGTTCTTGTATAAGACCTGAATTACTTCCATTATTATCTAATTTAACAACGAATTCTGCGGAAACATCATCTTTGCATTGCAGTCAATATGCTAATCGTCGTGGACCAAATCAACGAATCATATCGGTTAGTTTATTTGGACCCAAAGAAAATAAAATGTTTCAATTTAACAGATCACTTAATTTCTTGAATGAACTTATTAATGATATGAATAAAGTTTATTCCGATGGATTTACCTTACGTGTTTATCATGATAATACTATAAATACAACAGATATCGTATGTCCTATAGAATGTCAAAATCCGAATGTTGATTTTTGTAATATGAATTCAAAACTATTTATTCCACCTAAAATTTGGCGTTTTATACCAGCAGGTGATCCACTCGTTGATATAAGTAAATATTTCATCGCGATCAATAATAATACACAAAATCGATTTTTTTTTCATTCTTTCAGTGATGAGTCGTGATCTTGATTCAGCATTAACACAGCGTGAACGTTCAGCTGTTAATGCATGGTTAGCATCAAATAAATCATTTCATGCTATGCGTGATCATCCAATGCATGGTGTACCAATGCTTGGTGGTATGTGGGGTTTTCGGCCTTCGCTTAATGCAAATTTATCTCGTATAATTTATAATAAAATTCATCGCGAAGATTTAATTAAAAACTATGGTGGTCGAAATGATCAAACATTTCTTGCGAATGAAATTTGGCCACATGCTAAATCAAGTATTATTGTACATGATAGTTTTCTTTGTAAAAGTAATTTTGGACAACAACCACTACCATTTCCAACACAACGTCCATCATTCAATGAAACCAATTGTTTTATAGGTTGTGTACGACCTTGTTGTGGTTTTGGTAGACCACCTTTTGGAGAATGTCCAAAAGATTGCCGTCCAAAAGATCATCCTGAATGGGTTTATTGCTAATTTTGTTTTTTGTATTATACAAACAGTTAATATTTACTTTTTTAAAGAAACCTTTATTTTTAAAATACATCTCGATTATTTATTATGTCATTGTCTTGTATGTTAAATGTTGGCGTAGCGAACATTTCTTATAAATTTTTAAATCGTATATCAAATTTCAATTCTATATTCACAAGTATTTATCGGATTAACTCATTTTGTTTTATTAGACAATACGTGAAGTAATAAAATCTTCTTTTGAATGTTTACATGTTAGTATAAATATTAAACTAGAAGATTCATTTTCTTCTATTCACAATCTCTTATCTTATCATTTTTAAATTTTCTCTTTACTTCAATTTTATTACGATACAGTAGCAAGAGCGATGATTAAAGTAAATAAGAAATATCGAATTTCTAAACGATGTCGTGAGTATAGTCTCGATCATAGTTTTGTCAGGTAGAAAAAGTAAACATACAAGTCATTATAAAGGATATGAGAAATTTTCTGGTTCAAAGCATCTTTTCTTTTTCAATAGAAATAGTTTAATCAGTTATGTACACATACAGATTCAAATTAAAAAAAAACATACAATGTTGTATCAATATCATATTTATATGATATATCTACTTTGCAAAGATTCTTTTGATTATTGATGTGTACTTCTGATCATGATTTTACACACGTACGTCATTAGTATAAGATACTAATAGATAAAAAAATCATAGGATAAAGAATAAATTAACGATTTTGTTTTACTTATTCTCTATACACTAGTTTTTTTAGGTAATTTTCAATTTTTTTTGTTATGACTATCGTTATATAATCATTGAATGTTTACATTCACGACTAAAACTACATTCCTTACCTTCAAAATTAATATTAAATTGAAAGGAAAAGATACTAATTAGCAAGAGCTATATTTGAAAATCGGAAAAATGTTTGTGATAACTTGATAAATACATTTAATTGAAAATATTATTTGAACGGAAGAAAAAAGATCAGTACTTCTAAGGTAACTAACAAGAAGAATTGAAGTAATTGCTTCACCACCAACCGACACTATCACGTGTGCTCATGTCATACTCATAGTAATTCCATCAAATTATTATCAATTGACTTTAATTGAGCTTGATTTGAGTATTAACATAGTTAGCTGATTATTAGTTCGTTTTAAACTACGAAGTCAACGAGAAAAAATCGTATTTGTAATCAATAATTTCAACTATAATCTTGTCTTGAATTAGAACTATGTTTGTTTTACAATTGAGACATTGATCAAAAGACTAATTATTATAACTAGTAAATAAAAACGATGCCGATAGTGTTTGGGGATATTTTTATTATGTATATATATCCCAGGGGAATAAAGAAAATCAGATTAAAATGATGAAACGATCATTATTCTTGATGCATTTGATTTTCATTGATTACAATAAAAATTTACACTAGATTCATTCCGTAATTTTGTATTTTAATTAGTAAAAATGAAATACATCATAAATAATGTCCGTTTCTTCATCAGAAATGTCATTTTCTTTTTATATCAAATGAAAAATAGTTTATCAGGTATTTTATATATATAACTGAAAAGAATAAAATGCAATTACATGATTTTCTATTCTGTATACATGAATCATACAAATAAGTAAGTTTTTTTGTGGTCATATTCATACATTCAATTATAACTTCTATGATATAAATAATTTGATGTATTGAAGAAAATATTTGAGATTTTATCTAATATTACATGGACAGACAAAATCCCTACTATATTTGTATGAAGATTATCTATTATATCTAATAGTAAATAAATCTATCTATCTATTATTTGTATCAGCTATATACTTCATGGTAAATTAAATTCACCAAGAACTTTGCTGCATGTTCTATCACATATTAGATGGACCATTAATTAAAAAAAAATGACATCGGGCTTCCACATATATAACTAATAATCCCTCATTTTCAGACAGGTAACGTATTGAACGAAGCTACTGTTCTTAGATATTCAATAATCTATGTATATATTACAATGTGTTGTTCTATTATAAATTGATTACATTTGTGTAACATGTGAATATTCCCTTTCCTAGTTCTTCTATCAATTAAAGCCATATTTTAACGATTTCTTCATGCACTTGAAATTTGATATTATTTTAATCGAAGATAAATATGAGGCTGCTGTCAATCGAAACTGAAAACTATGAACAATATGTTTGTATTCATTGTAAAATCACACCTGTATTTTTTTTGTGTTATGAGTATAAACAATAAATAAATTAAGAAATTTTTTGCATTGGTTAAAATTAAGCTTGTCACTCAACTATAATACCCTTTGATGAATTAAAATATTCTAGTGGGATTATAATGGTAAGTTCTTGTAACTATGAAAGTTCATTGTATTTTGCCTGAGAATACATTTAAAACAACATTTACATTCATCTCTTCAACAACAATAGAAAAGATGTCACTTCTAAATTGTTTTAAATCACAATTTAAGGTTGTCAACGACAACATCTACTTAATGGTCATTTAACGATAATTCCGATCGATTTTTAGATTATTGAAAACAATGACAACAAAAGGAGCTGCAAAACCAGCAAAACCAACAGCTAAAACAACCTTGGGAAAAACAGCCGGAAAAACTGTAGGCAAAGGTGACAAACAATTAACAAATGTTTTAGAAATTGTACCTGGTAGATTCAATGAAACAGATTGGGTATCATTATTAGAAAGTGATGATACAGAAAATTTTATTGCCGATATATTTGAAAATATTTGGAAAGATGCATCACAACAAATTCAACAAATATATCTTCGTAGACAATTATTATCATTTACATTAATGAGAACAGAACATGCATTATCAACTGTTGTTCAAGTAATATAATAATTATACAAAAGATTTTTTAATTATATTTTTTTATATAGTGGGCATTTTTAGAAAGAGATGAACCAAAACCAGCAAATGGTGCTTTTTGGATAGATGATGATGGTATAAAACAAAAAATAAATGATATGATGATATTAAGTTTTTATATTCTATTTTAGAACCTATAGCTTGTTCAATGGATAATTGGGGTGAAGGTGTTGTACCTGCTTGTCGTGAAGAACGTCCTCAAGAGTTCGTTCTTATTCAATTTCGAATATTATTGAGAATATTTATTATTATTATTTAGTATTGAGATAATATCAATACCAACTCCTGAACGTTCATCTTCAGCTCCTATAAATAAACAAATATCAGAAAATCTTGATGAACTACAGAGACCTTCAACAGGTTCAACTAATTCTGATAAACAAAGTAGACAATTACATGAAACTGATTCTATTGATCAAGAAAATAATATAGAAGAATTATCAACTAAACAACCTACACGTCGATTATCTTTTCAAAGACAAGCATCTAATCATGATATTCTAGTTATTGATACACGCCCACCTAAAGTAAATATGTTTTCCTATTACAATTCTATTTCTCCTTCTTTTTTCTTCTAAAGCTTGAACCATTATCTGATTTATTTCAACGAACATCAACAGCTATAACACCAAAACGTCGACGTATGAATGTACCAAAATTATCATCTCAATTTGGTTCTGATACACTTCATTCAATGACAAATATAAGTGAAGTAACCGGAGCAACAAAAACTACCAAAAGAAGTGAATCAAAATTATTCGATGATCATCATATTGAAGAAATGATTTCTAAAGCACCAGCTGCTGCTCATGCAATGCTTAAAGTAATTTTCTAATGATAATATTTACTTAGGAAAAACTTTCTGTATAGGGTATTCTTAGTCGACCACCTGGATATCGAGAATTAGAACTTAATGATGAAGGAAATGTTGTTTCGATGACTAAACTTGATCCAGATAAATTTGCAACAAGAAGGTTTGATGAATTGATAGATTTTCTTTGTTTTTTCATTCAAATTATGTTTATAGTGTTCGTCTTACATGTGATATTGTTAAACCAAGACGATCTAAACGTGAAATATTATCACCATCGAAACAAACACGGAAAATGAAACTTTCTCGATCTGATCAAAAATTTACTCCTGTGAAAATTGGTTTCGTTTATCTAAATATTTCTTGAATCATAAAACGAAATTTTGTTTTTCTAGTAATGCCTGAACAATCGACTGAAGTTGCTGATCTTATTCATCCAGTACCAGGTGTATTATACCATGATTCCAAATTAAAAAAAGGTGATCCAAAACGATATCAAGTAAATTATTACAGAATATTTCTTCTATTTTTTTGTGTTATTTTTATTGAATAGACTGGTATGGCAAGATATATAAATTTTCATGATGAAGATCGTCCATTAAAACCAATTGCTCAAAGTAGTGATTATGCATTACTTCGAACAGCAAATGATTTATTACGTATATCAAAAGATTATGATAATGATAATGAAGTAGATTCAAAGATCCCTAAATTACATCGTCTTGCACGAATACCACCAATTATGTCAGCATCAAGTACATCCTCAACATAATATTCTATTTTTTTTATTTTGAAATCAGAGTCTTTCTTTCATAATTTCATAAACTTAACATATAAGATTTGTTTGATAATTTTTTATTTTTTTGAAAACAGTGAAAAAATAATTTTCGTATACTCAGAATATATATATTAATCAATTATATAATATCTTTCAATTATAAAGTTATATGCAAGAAAAAGAGTAAATATACCATTGCAACAAATCATGATTAGTATCATTCTTTCTCACAGCATATGTATGTGTCGTCTTATTCTCTCCTCCTTGACTTTCTATTTTCCAGAAACTACTTCTTTTCTATTAGAAGGATGATGATGATAGTTATATTGCATATACGCGTCAGTCACTCGAAACGCAAATGGCAACATTCTTCTACGTTTTCTTATGATTGTAGCATAATACAGGGATGTCTCCTTCAAAAGTCACCCCATTCCTCCCTCTTTACCCATCTTCTTCTTCTTCCATATCTATTCTTTACGTCGCCATATACGAGCGGCTGCCGCTGCTCATGGGTGATGTCAATCATCGTTGTGCATATAAGAGGAAGAAACACGTACACAGTACATCGTATGGAAGCGCAAAAGAAAGAAGAGACGCGTAATAAATATAGACTGTTACTGCTGCTGCTGCTGCTGTTGTTGTTGTCTTTTTCAATATACCGATGCTGCGACATACGCATCTCGAGTAATGCATGTACATCTCACACTTTTTGTCTTCTTTTTTCTTCTTCTTCTTCTTCTTCTTCGCTCTTATATACATGTTATCTCTGTTTGGTAGTATCTATCGTCGACGGGTGATGACGAGAAAAGAGTATGGCGAAGATGTTTGTAGATGCATGCTCGGTCAAACCTTGAATGATGAAAGCAGTCAGAAAAGTAATCCAATCAACTGTACTAAAAAAAGAAATGAAGAGTAAAGAGAAAGATGGGACAATCATGGCATTCTTTTGTCATAGGCAAAGTTAATCATATCAACACATGCCTTAGATAATATATATGTATATGTATTTTACCAAGACTAGAAAAAAAATTTGTACTTTGAAATATACAAGAGTTTTCTTTTAAAGTAAAAATTTTGCTACAGTTATTCTATCATTTTTGATAAAATTAATTTTGATTGCTTTTTAATGCATAGATTCACATATGTATATATTTATATATATATGTTTTAAATTACATTTGTACGATAGTGCATTCATTCATTTATATGAGCATATGTGACCAAATATAAAATGAAATGAGAATGTGAGACTTGTTTCACACCTATTCACCCATTTATTCACCAATTTTTATTTCGCAAGATAGAGAAAGAAAGAGCGAGAGCAAAAAAATTCTAGTTGATGATTTGGCCATCAGTCATTACTCTATTATATATTATGCGTATAATATTGGTCGTTGGATCCTGTTGATAATGATAAGAAACAAGCGATGATCTTGATCGTTGTCATCATCATCATCATCATCATCATCATCATCATCAATAGAAGTACTGCTGAGAAGAAGAAGAAGAAGAAGAGAAAATCCGTTTTCTTTCTTGCTTGCTCCTTTTCTCATATAATATTCCTGTATATTACCAGGAGAACGGACGTCGGTCTATCAAATAAATGTTGATCGACTCGAATGTTTGTCGTCTTATTTTATAGAGCGCCTGGCTCGCACACACACACACACACATGTATATATATATATACATACAATTGGGGAAAGAAACAATCTTCCAAGTAGCACACATACATATACATCAAGGATCGCTTATGTATATATATATGCGAGTGACGAAAGTTAGTGTAGTGATGTAACGACATATGCATAGAAGAAAATTGTGTGAGAGAAAGAAACAGAGCGAAAGAGAAGGAGAGATAGAGAGAGAGATAGGAATTGTACAAGCGACAGCTAGTACTACGAAGAAAAAAAAATGCAAGATTATGCAAGTCACTACGAGAGGAAAAAAAAAGAAAGAGATCGGGAAAATGTCTTCTTGTTGTTGTTGTTGTTCTCATCACCACGCTAAAAATTGGGCGCGCGCGCACGCGTAGTCGTCGCTTTTGCTTGATATTCGATACAGAAAATGTATCATCCTGGAGCGTTTCTATTCTACTAACATCTTCAGTAGTAGAGTAGTAGCATGAATATAACGACGATGACGACAACTACTAGCATCATCACGTGTGAATGAAAAGAGATCAGAACGCAAAAAGAAAAGAAACAAACAAACAAATAATAAGGTCGTGCTTACTTTCATTTATAAATTGAACTAATCAAGCTCCTTTCAATATGTATACATTTGGTATAACTACAAGTCGATGTTCTCTATGTTATGCTCTTTTATCTACAAATATAAGTACAAATAGCTCTTCAATAGGTTATTCATCATCTAATAGACGACATGGTAATCGTTGTTCGGTAGCATCTATCGAACGTGTTCTTACTTCATCAAAAAAATTTCAAAAATTATGGCATAAAAATGATAATGGAATAATTAATACTCGTTTAATATGTTTTCGATGTTGTGATACAATACGACAAATTGAACAAATTCAAAATCATATTGAACAACTTAATAATGATCAAGATATATTAATGAATAAAATTGAACATAATCTTTATAAACGTTCGCTTATTCTTCAAGGACAAAGACATCGAACAAATTCTACAACTCCCTTCATATTAAATCATCAAGTAACCTTTGATTGCTTATTCTTTTCTAATAGCAAAAAAAAATATTTTCTTTATTTAGCAAATCCCAATAAATGAAGATGATGATACTGAAGAAGGTGAAGAAAAACCACGAACAGTAACTGTAACAAATGGATATGGACATACATCACCTTTAGTAGTTTCAACAACAACATTAGTTGGTGCTAAACGACGAAAATCTAAAATAGCACATAGAATTAATACTGAAGATAAAGTAAAAACAGACCCGTTTTTCTAAATACAAAGATTTATTTTCTTTTTCCTATTTCAGTCTTCATTGCTCAATCATTCACGACAATCAAGTAATTACAAAAAAAAATAAATCTATATTTATAAACCTTTTTATTTCTTTTTAAAGATTCACCCATATCTCATCCACTGGAAAATTTTTCTCCCACTCTTCTATTTAGTCCTGATTTAGCTAAACATCATCGAACAGGAATATTCTCAACTGGTCTTAATGGTCATGCTAATGATTTAGCAAATCTTTCATTTGGTTCAGCTTATAAATCTTTAACTTTACCAGCCGCAGCAGCAGCAGCAAATACTCCACCATTTATTGACCCAACAACAGGCGCATTAATTGCAATTGTTTCAAATCCACATCATGCTGCATTACTTGCTCAACAACATCAACAAATACTTAAATCATCATCATCAATATCTCCATCATCAACCAATACAATTGATGAACATGATATAACTGCTCCTAAAACAACAATACCACCACAACTTCAAAAAAAATTCCCTTGTCTTTTATGTGGACGAGATTTTTCAAACAAATCAAATTTAAATCGTCATCATAGTATTGTTCATGTAGCTTTAAGAAATTTTGAATGTATACGTTGTCCAAAAAAATTTAAATTAAGACAAGGACTTAAAACACATATGCAGCGATGTCATGGTGTTAATGCAGATGAACCAACATTTGTTTTACAAAAACATCATGCACATAATCATCATCACCATCATCATCATTCATCTTTTGCTCAATCGAAATAAATAACATAAATAAAGGTGCTACTGTTTTCTTTTTCATACATAGTGTTTGTTGAGTTTCATTTTTTTATTCTTCATTTTGTTAATTATTTATGCGATATGAAAACAAATAAATTTAACTCTAATTTTTATTTAAATAATGATCATATATGAAGATATTTATTTCAGTAATATGATAAACAATAACAAATCATTATCTTATTATGAATACGAGAGATTAGTTTTGTTTAGATAGAAATTAGACTAGATACTTCAAAAAAGGAAGAAGACTAAGTTTTATTGTATATCATGCTTTGTAACTTTAGCAAGGGTTTTATAGAGATATATTTAATTAATTTTTCTCTATTGAAGATCTTTACCATATAGAGTATCATATTTTATGGAAAAAGAGACATATTAATTTATATGTAATCTATCGACTAGTATCAAAAATCGAAATAAAACTAAAGAAATTAGATAGATCAATTTCAGATATAGAAATATGATGTCAATGAATATTGACTGTTCTATACTGAAGTTATGCAACATGGATTCAAATTTTTGAATCAAATAGAAAAATAACCATTATGAATAGACATCTGGTAGAAAAATCGTAATAAGAGCGCATTACAATTATACAGATAAATATACAAGATGCTGTATGATCTTTCCATATGAATTTTGCTTCAATTTATATTATCATGAAAATTTAGTAGTATTCGAAAGACAGATTTTTTACTTGCATGAAGTATAAAGTGATAATGTCAGCATTGGTTATAATATGACAACTATTAATCATCATATTCGTTATTATATTAGAAAGATAGATGAAGATCTTTAAGATGCAAAATGAAATAAAATGCTTAGAGAGGATTTATAATAAATTCAAAATTATAGTTTTTTTGTAAGGGAATATTTATCTTTTATTCGAGTCTGATTTCAATGTACATTTTGAAAAAATTCCTATGATTATGTTTATAATTATGATAAACAGCTAGATAGAAGTATATTAATATGAGTGGTTTATAATAGAGAAGCCCATGTTTATGTGAGACATTTATATCCTGTTATATATACAATACATTAAATTTATTGTCACGCTGTAAATCTTTTACAAAAATATAGGATCAAAGAGATCTAAGACTTATAAGTCTTTAGAAACACATTGAAAGTAGATCAAATGTTTCTAATAGAGAACTATTTGAGAAGATAATAATATATATGTCATAGAATAAAGTTTATTTTGCATATATCTTCCGAAAAAGGACATTATTAGAAGTACACAGATGAGTGCAACAGCTGTTTCGCTCAGTTCTCTTAAAAGCCATAATTTAAATGTAAGCATTTATTGTCATATGATTTTCTATACGATACACAGAAAATTTGAGATTTTTTACAAGGTCCTATATATGCATAGACATTATGACCAAGCGAGCTGAAATTCTTATCATAGATAGTGAGAAAAATATTTTTACAGAGATCTTATCTTGTCACTGCAAGATTCCATCAAACTTTATTCGATTGAATTGAAGTTATTTTCAGATACCTACAACTATATGTCAGCTTTTTGAAAATATCATTTTCTTTTTTTATAAAAAGAAATGCCTAAAGGTTCTGTCTAAAAACGAGTTTCTTAACTTTATGATCTCTGTAGATTAGTTACAAATATCTGTAGTATAAATTTCAGCCAGATTGAATGAAATTAGAGTGTGATTGTTTATAGAACAGTTGCATGAGTTTTAAAAAGTTGAAAAGTCGTTTTTAGTGATCCTATAGGTAGTCTAATATAATAATTTTTAAAACAACTGCTTCTTGTTAAAATCAAATGAAAAATTAACGTTAGATCTGATTGAGTCCGTTCAAACGTATATCACAAAGCCAATCTATCTTTAATACACAAATAATATTAAAGGAGAGAAGAATACTTCCAAGGTGGATTTTGTTTTGTAATAAAATTTTCAATTTATTTAGTATCAGTATTTCATAGCCATCTTCATAAGTTAATCGATCATAATGTAAAAACTGATTTAGAAAACCTTGATATAAACTTATTATTTATATAATGGAATAATTCTATGACATTACGATCTGATTATTTGTTATATAAATTATGATCAATATTTAGATTTAGATGGATTCAGCTCTTATGTACTTAGCAAATATTTATAAGAGTTCTTTTAATTATCCAAACACTCTATATTTCTATGATTGAAACCATACCCCCCCCTCCGCCGACAAAAAATAAGAAATGATAGTTCTAATGAAATATTCTATTCATTCTTGCGGAAAACCTACAAAATGGTATATACTATCAATCTAAGAGATTAAATGATGCAAAAACTTAAGTTATTATCAATAACCTTTTAATGCATTCCGTCAAACTAACCGGAAACACTTGAAAAATAACTCTAGCAAAAAAATTAATTTTTCCCTAGACAAATCTAATAAATCAATAAATTAGTTTATCAGAACTAAAATCGAATGTAATCCAGTTTGATCATATCATATAGTTAATGATAGATGGGTATATATCCTGATGGATAACTGACGACATTTTTTCGATAAAAAATATCTGTTACTCATCGATCATTCTAAGCACTTATGTCATATAATATTACTTGGTCAATTATGAATTTCATAAGTTTTGATAAATTCTTTCTTTTTTTTTTTGGTTGATTTTTTAATATGTATAATAACAACAAAATAAATTTCCACACACACACACACACACACACTCACATACTCTGCGTATGTTGTCTATAGTGTAAAAGAAAAGATAGAACGAACTTCGAAAAAAGAAAAAGTTGAAAGAACAAAGAGGAGACATAAAGTCGATCCATTGAAGAAGAAAAAAATAGCTTATTCCACACGAAGAAGAAAAAAATTGTCAATTGAAAAGAAGAAAAAGAGAGAAGATTTCATTTGAGTGTTAAAAATATGAAATTTCGTCGATCACTGTTGTACAGCTACATACAAACATCTATATCGTTGCATCAAACCAAAAATAAGACATACAAACAAATATTATGTAATTGCATATAAATAAAAATACATTTAAAAACAAACGAAAGAATACACACACACACACACACGCACACACATACAAAAACGATCGACTGTAATTAAGTAAAAAAAATACACATACAAACGATAATTGGTGTGCAGCAATGCGTAGCTACGAACCGGAAGATTGCATAGAAAAAACGACAAAATACTGTTATTTATGTATGTGTGATTAATAGTAGAAAGAGAGAAGAAGAAGAAGAAGAAGAAAAAAGAAGCTTAATGAGTTATTAGAATACCGCCAATTTCCGAAGCAATTCTATTAAAGAAAAAATAGGGAATGAATCACTTAAGAAATTAAAAGAAAAATATATTACCTCGAATGAATTAAAAATTCTGCCAATTGTATTTGTTCAGGTGTACCAGAAATAGTAACGTGTCTATCTTGTGAACCTTCATCTAAATCTGCTATTTTAATATTAGCTCCAGACGCTTGTCTATAGAGAAAGAAAAAAAGGTTTTTTTTAAACCTTATTAATAAAGTTTACCTAATCTCAGATATTTTTTGTCCACCACGTCCAATAATACAACCAATAAGATCATTAGCAATAGTAATCTCGCGTTGTGATTGTAATTGTGCACGATTTGCTGGAAGACCATTAGGCATTAAAGGTGCTATTGACATAGAAAATAAGTCATTAACTAAACATAATTCATTTCTATCTTACCAGCCGGCATACCCACACCAGGTCCAAGTTGAGGTAATGAAGCATATGCATTTAACTAAAATGTATATACATAAGACAATATATGTACATAATTCAATAATATATGTCTGACTTCATTTGGTGGCAAGGGTATTGCAAATTGTCCTTGGACTTGATAAGCTTGTCCATTAGCAAAAATAATTGGTGCATGAACAGGTGATATCATCATTTTAGGTCTATATGGAACTGTTTCACCTTTGGGTGGTGACTATTAAAATAGAAAATATAAGATAAAGAGTAAATATATATATTTGTTATACTTCAAGCATGATCTGGCATATTTGTCGGAAACAAGATTCGATAGATTCAAGTTTTCCTGAGATTGTAACAGCGCGTTCTGTTGATGTTGGTAACATTTCAGATGCAACTTGTACAGATGCACCTGTTGTCTATAAATAAATAAATCACATATTTAGATTAGATAAAATCTTTATAAAACAAACTTCTCGAATTTCTTTTATTTTTGCACCACCTTTACCAATTATTGAACCACATTGACTAGCAGGTACAACAAGTCGTAAAGTAATTGGAGGTATTGTTGTACATGTTTGTTTTAAATCCTAGATCATAATTAAATCATTAAAACTATAAAAAAATGAATGTATTACATCTTCAAATTTTTGACAAATCATATCAAATGCTTTTGATAATGTATCAATTGTACCAACCATAGTAACAATACGTTCTGGTGTTGTACCATCACTAATATTAATACGAGCACCACTCTAAAAATTAATTTTCAATTAAAATATTTTCTCTTTCGAAATCAATTTACTTCTTCTCGAATTGCTTTTATATTATCACCACGTTTTCCAATGATACTACCAACTTCCTACAACGAAAGACATTTTTTTTGTTAGATAATAAACAATAAAATATGAATACATACTTTGCCTTGCATAAGTAAACGAATAGTAAGAAAATTTTCCATTTCTCCCGGCGGTTTTATATGAGGTTGTTGTTGTTGTTGAATATTATTAATATTTTGAGGATTTGTAGTAGTTAATTGAACAATTTGTGGATGATGAAGTGTTGGATTGTCCATCATCATGATGATTTAATAGTTTTAAGATAGGGACAGAGATATCGAAAGGTGAAAAAATAAGGGCAGGTAGGTCGTGAAAATATGTAAAATCGAAGGGAGAAGGGTACCTGAAACAGAAAAATATAGAGAAATGATTATTAAATTCTATGCATTATCTTTAATCTTCGGGTGTCTTTTTCTTTTCAAATAATAATGAAAAAAAAAGAAAAACCTTGATTTATTTTATTTGATAGATCGAGTATCTTTTATTTCCTTTCCGGATGAAGTAAAGCTAGAAATGAGCTGTTAGCATCCATCATCAATCGTTCTCGTTTGCCTTTTTACGGCAATTGCACTTATTCTCTCTCTCTCTCTCTTTCTATTTAATGGCGTTATATTTTTATTGAAAAACTCAAGAGAAAAAAAAAGGAGAAAGAGAGCTATCAATATTTTACTATCGAAGCTCGTTGTTGATTGCTTGCATTAATAATTGATTATGACATGAGTGCTGAACGATTAATTTCTATGCGGAAAAGTGATTTCTTTTTTTTCTTCTTCTTCGCGTCATTTTTGTTTATCTATTTTATACCTACGATAGAATTCAATTATCATTCTTTTCAACAATTCTTGACAATACTATTTTATCGAACAATCGAATTTCTTTTCTTTCGCAAGATATGCGCTTAGGCACTCAGAAAACATATGTTTAGTTGTCAACAATAACAACAAAATAGATAACACAGGAACGATTCTAATAGGGAAAAATAAAACAAAATCTCAAGCGACCAGATTTTTAACAAAAAGTATATGACATAAGATAGATGCACATTTCTTCGTTATGATGATGATGATGATGATGATGATGAGGGTGTTGATGAATATTTCTCCTTGTTGATCGTGTGTTTGACATCAACAAACATTTGGAAGTATTTTTCTACAATGACGAAGTAAATTAACTTCTCTAGACTGTTATTACTTATATCTTTATTATCGTTAGAAAATTTTTTCTATACTATTCATTATATACAAATAGAACTTCTAATTAAGAATACTGTAACTTAGAATAAACTCAATGGGTTTAGCCATATGTTCGTCGTTGACGAAATCCACACACATCTATATATTGACATTATAATAACATAAAAAAGAAAGACGAAGTAGAAGAGAAAATGAGATTTTTTTATTCATATTAAATGATCAAGCATGTTAGCTAATATTTTTTCTCTCTCTTTTTAAATTCTTGTGAGAAAAATAAGTCAGGAAACAATCAAAATGAGCATGTCATGCATAAGGTAAATGTATAAGACTAGCAAACAGATCTATAGGGATCTCAATTAGTTAGTTGCATGATTGAGAAACATGTGTATCATTCGACGAAGTTATGTGCGTGATGCCAATTAGACTATAGTAAGCTGACTATGTCCTTAGAGAAAAATAATATATATATTCATATATAGAGTATTTTAAAATCTTGGCAACGATCAGCATTGCATTAGTCTGTTAATTGAAAAAGAAAAAGAAAGGTTACAGTATGTGAATAATAAATCTTACTTTTTACTTCTCTGTCCTTTACCAGATATTTATATATATATATTAACATGAAGTTTAAATTTTATTTCATATTATGAATGTTGTACAAAACAAAAAACGTTTCAATAGCTGCTAATTTTTTTTTATATTTAATAATTAAATGAAAAAGAAATGATAGAAGATATAATTAAGTAATATATTAAATTCTTTTACTATGATCAATAAAGAATAGAATAGAATAGTTTTATTGTCAAATATGTAATAGTGACATTATAATACTCAATCAATGAAGCTCAATGAATCTAATAAGATTATATATAATGACAATGACAAGAGGCTAAATATTCATTCTCAAAAAAATATAATGTGAGACTTAAGCTGCTATCTAATATATATAGTTTCTAATAAATGTGTACTTTACTGTAGTATTAAGAATATTCTCTCTAAAAGCTTATGTATAAAGACAGGAAATAATCTTAGAGCAGAACGCTTTTTTTTTAAATGTTGTTTCCTGGATCACTTGAAATAAGATGAGAAAAAGATGATCGTATAGTCATACATCTTAACAATAATGTTTCGATCATAATTAGATTGAGAGCATCATTTATTTCTTTCGCTTATGATGTTAGATGAACATACATAGTTCATTACCTGTATAAAAATAGAAATCGTTAGATGTGTATTCAAAAAAACTGAAAGAGAGAGGGAGAGAAAAAAGACTAGTAGATTATTATTCAATGTAAAATAAAAGAAGTAACATCAGAAGAAAGACGAAGAAGAAGAAGAAAAAAGGAAAAAAGGAGAAGAAGAGACAAGCAAAAGAGGAAGATGATGGTTCGGATCGTTAATCAGCATCTCATCTTTTCTTTCTCTTTCTTTTGCTTAGTTTTCTTCGTCATTTTCTTTTTTGCGTTAGTACTACTAGCACTGCTCTACTACTACCATTGTCAGAACAATTTTCACCCTGACATGCACGCACAAACGCCGTTGTTCGCGCAAGCAAAAGGAATTATCTTGATACGATCACCATCAACGAACACAAGGCAAAGGCGAGAACTGCTTGTTCCAGCAGAACTAATTGATGTATGTGTGTATGTTTCGGGTTTAAATCTCATCTACATACATCTATTTTCTAAGAAAATGACAAAACCAGATATAGAGAGACATTTTATGTCCAGATTTGTTATTTAAACTTATCTTTCTTATTAGAAAACAAAAGAAAAATATCTATATTATAATAACTATTATGATGTTCATAGATTATGTAGCTTTACGTTGCATGCATATACACGATTTCATAATATAAAGAAAAAACTAACTTACAAATCACAATAGAATAGTTAACTTTAAGATGTCAAATCTGTTTATCATTATTATGACAATAAAATATGGATGAGATAAAACCTAGAAGAATTTTATCTATTCTATACACAAGAAATCAAGGGAAAAAACTAAATCATTACCTATTATGCAAACTCTAAGATTTTATTTACTATTGCACACCAATAACAGTTGTATCGGTGTGTTCTATATAGTTGATGATGCCGATCGAATTAGCACATGCTGCTGAAGGGCGGGCGGGCAGAAACAGGCAAGAAAGCAATCTTAACATTTCTACCCAAGAGAGACATATAATGAATGTGCTGGATGAATCGCTCCAACTGGCGTGTCTTGTTGTCTTAACATATATGTATATATATATATAATATATATATACAGAATATGGATATATCGGTATCGATCTACCTCTTGCCCATCCGGTGACCTTAATGTGATACTCAACCCATCTGTTTAGAAATCAGTTACGATGCTTACATTAGACGCTCATTTATACTTACACAAATTAAATAAATGTGAAAACAATGATCGACACTAAATCTTATAGTAATAGTGTAAATTTCCAAGTGTTTACTAATTAAAGACAAGAACAGTGTTCCGCTTTTTTTTTCTTCTGTCTCGTGGCTCCGTTTAGTATCAACAACGTGGATGAATATTACTATGAGTGTTGATTGTTGTTGTTGTCTTCGTCGTCGTTGTCGTAAAGCGAGAGAGAAAAGTCATTGGTACTAATGTCTATTCGATGGCGTAGGCAATATACCCTATAGTAATAGTAGAAAGAACGAGAGAAGAGAAGGCAAAAATTGAAGAAAATAGACTCCTCGCTGTTGCTAATATGCTGTTCCTCGAGAGCAATGCGAGATTTCTTCCATTGCATTGACTTGTGTTCGCTCTCGCATTCTGTTACAGAAACGATCATCCGACGGGCGAAAGAGAGGCATGTGCGCCTAACAAAAGAAAGAACGAGTATAAAGCAGGTTTTCGTGATGTCTTCCTTGTTTCTCTCTCTCCCTCTCCCTCTCCCTCTCTCTCTCTTTCATTCGCTATCGTTCTCATAGGGTTGTCTCTCCTATCCACCACAACGACAACGGCGACAGATCATCTGAATACATGTGCATATATATATATATATTATATATGTATATGCAGTCATTTAAAGACAGTGATGACTGAGTAGGAGGATAAAACGACAATTTGACAGAAAAAGGAGTTAGTTAATGTTCATTAATTTCTTTTCGATCTATCTCTCCGTTTCTTAGTTATGACATTTATATGATGAAGTAATTAAGTAAAATATCTAAAGTGGAAAAAACGTTATTTTTATCTTAAATACATGATATTATAGATTTATTTTTTCATGTATAAATGTGTATACATACACATCCATTTATATATATATCTATCAATGTATACATGAATTGAAAGATAAAAAGATGAGACATATAAATCAAATGAAGCATGTATATACATGTATACTAATCATTTATGATTGCCAACCTAAAAAAAGACTATTCATTTAGGAACTAAACAACATCTCTCTCTCTAAAGATGACTGATTTATCAAGACATCCCGAATTACGATCGTTTAGACTCTCTTGAAAAGCCCTGACGCATGTTTAATTGATTCAGTCAATCAAGGGTGGCAACTCTTGCATATACGTCTACTGTGTCATTTATCATTAGAGAATGGTAGCGATTATAATCAACGTATAAAAGAACGAACCTCGGTTTCATCGATCACTGGGAAATAGAACAGAAGATCAATATGACCTTGTTGAGCTTATAGCAACAACGATAACTGTATTGTACAATTACTTAGGATATATAATTGTTTACTGTCGAATGTTCTTTTTCTCTCTCTCTCTTGTCCTGTCGTTTTTGAAGACAAAGCTCGTGAAAATGTCATCAATAATGATGTATCATCTAATTGGCGTGACGATGATCTATCTACAGACATCATACTTCTGTATTTGGACTAAAAATGAGAGATGACGGTATCCGGACGAATGCATATACTAGTATCAACAAACAAGATGATGCTCTTTGTCACATTAGATAGTATATACATGGAAAGATCATTTAGTATTTTCGTCATTAATTTATCTCCATAGTGTAATATAAAACACTCAATGTCGTTATTTCTTTTATAAAATTATTTTTCCTATGAATTTATTTTTATCTAATTTATTTAACAAGAAGAAGAAGAAAAAGAATCATGTACTTTGAATTAATTCTAATAAATCATGTCATAGAAGAAAAAAATTGAATTTAATTACTAGAAGTTAATCTCGATGTCAAAATAAATTAAATTAGTTATGTTAAGTCTTTCTTTGACTGACAAGCTCAAAGTATTGTTAAAACATAAATCCATGTCTGTTTTTATGTTATGTTACAGAAAAAAAGATTATTAAAAATATAACTATTTGTAATTAGAAAAAGAAGAAGAAGAAATCAATGAAAGATTTCTTCTATTATATTCTATGTTTATTACTATTAGTATAATACTCACTCGTAAACAATGTCGTGATAATCAATTAAAGAAAAAAAGAGAAAAATGTTGTAAAGCAGGTGAATATACGTTCCGTTTTGGTTTTTTTGAAAATTGATGTCGTGTTCCTTTCTTTCTGATGATGTTGTAACAGCACTGTAGGCACACACACAAACTTCTGCCTCCTGTGTTGCCGCTGTGTTTCAATTAATGCGCACGCCGACTGTGTAAGAATGAGAGAATGAATATGAAGGTGTACCACGCATATATATCTATATATATATATATATATATTAAATTAGGTTTCCAGATGTCCTATAAGGTTCGTTATAAGACAATGAATAGGTCTATAAATCTCAAAAGATCTTTATCTATTTCCGTCTAAAATATACATAGGGATGTATACATAAAAACTATGATCGAGTAAAAAATTATCAATTAACTATTTTTCTTTTTTCTATCTTATAGTTAACAGATGAAGAAGGTCAAATTGATGATTATCAACCTGTTATTGTTGTTATTGTTGTTCGTGTTAGTCGTCATTGTGCCTGATCATGTATATACGTATGATGAAATTAAGACGACATGCACACCCACTGTTTGATCAGTAATGATCGACATGAATGTAGGGAACAAAAAAAATGACATTATAATGTGATTTTTCTACAGGCAAAAATTTCTCAAATTGTTAAATTCATATAATAATAGATGCTTATGTTTTCTTTTGCAGTACAAGTAATGGATTTCTTTCTTGTATAAATCATAAAGAACTTATTCAAATAGATTTACCTTTCTTTTTTGATTTGAATCTTTTAATGTATAATATCGAAGGTTTTCCTTGTGAGAGACAAATGCCAGCGACTATCTGTTTGCAATAGGTCTTGTTTGTATCTTGTCGTTTTGCCTTATATATGAATAACAACAAAGAGCAACAACATGAGAAAAAAAAACCAAAGGCAACGTACAAACATCTTTTCTCTCTCGATTATGATGGTAACAAGAAATGATAATGATCCAATAATCAGATCCGGCTGTCGTTCTTTCTGTTGATGTATTTACACTGAAGAACGATTGACAGGTGATTACAGATAACAGAGTTGCAATTTTCCATCAATTGCTAGTTTTATATGAATACATATGCTTGAATATGAAAAATCTTGAGAAAAAAAACTTCATTTATTTTAATAATTGATATAATTACTATTGCATACATAATGAATACAATACTTTAATGAAAAGATTATTTCTATCATATAAAAAATTATAAATATGTTTAAAAAAATAGACTTATCAATATTAATAACAGTTACTTCTTGTATGGAATATAATAAATAATAAAATCATGAACAAATTTATATTCTATTACAAGTGAAATATGATTCAATTTAACATATTTTTGTTACTCATCAATAATTAAAGTTAAATATATATCTTAGAACAATATGCTATAATACAATTAATAGAATTACAATCAAGTTTAATTTCAAATGATGTCACTACAGGTTTCATCAATAATTTATATACAGAAAAAAAAATAACTATGTCATTTACTGAGTAGGTTAGCATTTGCCTTAAATTAGTCCACAAAAACAGTTCACAATCAATTGTGGACCAATTCTGGGCATTACAATTTAGGGCAGATGATTGTTATTCCATTTGCTGTACACAATTATTATTTGATATTTATCCGTAATATCTATTTCACAGAATGCTAATATGAACGAGTTATAATTTAATTTATAGATTTTTCTAACAATACATTTTATAAGTTCCATAAAAAATCTTTTTCATAGACAAAATATCAGTATTTTAATTCGCTTGTTCATATTTAAACGAAGATAGTGTAATGAATGAATGAATGATGAAGTATTTTGAGGAAATCCTAAAAATATTTATTCTCAAGGACTCGAAATATAATCATAATACAACTATAAATAGTAGTCGTACAGATTTTGAATAATAAAATCATTCAATATTATATTATCCGATTATCTGTTTGTGTTAAATAATAATCTATGAACTGTTATTATTGTTCTTGTATTTATTCGATTGTGTGAATGATAAGATGAAAGAAGAAAATTGATTGATTTTTCTTTTGGGATTTATCTTTAGTAAAAAATAGACGAACTGTTATCCTGAGATCGATTATTATCCCGAGATACGACAAAGTCTCTCATGTAATAAAACAAAAAAAAACAGGATTGGTTTAATGATGTTATTTTCATATGAATATAAATACAATTGAGAAGTGATAAGACCTCACATTTTTTGTTCTAAGTCGTAAAACTTCTATTTCCGAAGTAAGTATTAACATGCTTAATAATTCTTCATTAGAAATGTATTGTTTGTGAGATATTTTCAAACTTAAATATAATAACATAGTTTCATATGATAGGAGTAAATTAGTTCTATTTTATCATCATCTCGTGATACTGTCAATAGAAAAAAAAAAGAGTTGTAAGAAAAAGAAACAATTCGTTCGTGTCGTATGATTGTATTGTTTTTGTTTTTCATTCTTCAATAACTGAAAAAAAGGGAAAATCCTTTAGAAAAATTATTAACTTGTGCATGAATGAATAGAGAAAGTTAGATATAGGATGTACGTGTAGTTATGAGAGCTCAATTAGTCGACGAGAGAAATGACTCGGTCTCATGAGACATTTCTCTCTCATTTTTATACGGAATCTAGACAGACTATAGCGAAAAAAACATTAGACCAAGTGTTGTTATCTTACTTTTCCTTTTTTTTACAAATGGAAAAGTTTGATTTTCTTTTTTTCTCCCCTACATAAAATGAGTTCTGAATAGTTAATTGAATGACGATCAATTGCGTTATGTTAGACAGGAAAACGATTCATTGAGATCAAGTAAAATTATACTTAGATACTAATCATATTTCCGTTAGTTTTTATATAACATAGTGACTAAGACAGTCTTATTTCTTTTTGCATAAGTTTTTCTTTTTTTTATATAACAAAAAATCCCTTTCATACATATACACATTGCGCTTTAGTTGAATTGAAGGAAAAGCAGAATTAAATACTATAACAAACGAATGAGAGAATATACGAGAATAGAAAGCACTGCTTGATGCTAATGGAATAATGCAGAAGAGAGAGAGAGAGAGAAACGAGAGAAATGATGAGTATAAAATGATGTGCGTAAAGTAATTCAAATCGAAGCGTAAGTATTGACAACTGATCTTTTCTTTATTTGTCTTCGAAATAAATGAGTGACACTTTTATTATTTTTAGATTCTATTTAAAAAAATGAAATCTTTATCAATTCTTTTAATACTTGCCAGTGTCCTAATGGTGCTTGTATTCAAACTTGCATTTACAGGTAAATATTATTATATTAAATATGTTTGTAAATAATAAGAAAAATCTAGATGCTGCTGCACTAATTCATGACGACTCAATCATTGACAGTAGTGCAAGTGATGAAGATGATGCATCATTAAGACATAAAAAAGATACAGGTTTATCAGCCGCACAACAATTAATTCCATCTCCCATTCGACGTCATCATTTGAAATTTGGTGTACTCGGTAAACGTTATACTTATGGTTATTTGGGTAAACGAAGTGACGGTATGATAAACAAGATTTTCTTTTTTTATAAACTAGTGTTTTTATTTTTATTTATTAGTGTCACAAACTAAAAATAATTTTGAAGATTGGCTAGATGATATCCGAGAACGACGTGCTGGCCGTCCACAATATGGAATCTTGGGCTAAAGAAATTTTTCTGTATGCTATCGACAACTTGCAGTATTATGAAATAAACAGTATCCCTTTCATTATTTTACTCTTGTATCATCATTAAACAATAATAATATCAATACTAGCGATGCTATTTTATTGTATTATATCTACTTGATTAAAGACGATGTCATAGAAATTGACACGCACATATTATTCTATTTTACATAGGAGGTTCAATAACTAACTACAATGAGTACTATGAAGTTAAGATCATTTTTATTAGGTTTAATTTTATAGAAAAGAAAATATTCAAGTATTAATTCAAAATATCTTTCACTTTTATATTCACAAATGAAAAGATTAAATTAGATAGAAGTAATATCAATATAATTACAATGGTAGATTATGATTTGTATTTAACTCAAAATGTTGTTTACGAAATGAATAGAAATCTTAAGTGTATATGATGCATGTTTGTTAATTGACATTTTGTCAAGAAAAATTTCATTTGATTGTTTATTAATTGCGATTAATTATCTTTAAAATTGTAAATTAGTAGATTAATATAATTGCTATGACTAATAATTCGTATGTATCACGTATTTTTACTAGAGCGTAGGTAGCGCAAACAAATATGCGGTGACTATCGGTATTAATAAACAAGGAATAGATATTGTGAACATTGACTAATAATCAATATTATTTTACTTCGCCTCCAGTTGATAAACAAAAGCAAAAGAAAAGACATGATAACAATTATGGCAGAGTGAATGTTAATTAACTAAATACCACATACGTGTTCTTTCTAAACTGATCTTCTTCGTTTGTTCAACCAGATTAGTGTGAAGAAGAAAATTAAAACTAGTATCCTATTTCAATTTACACTTGGAAAATTTTTAGTTCCCTTGGTTTGCTATAGAAATGTTTTTTTCCTTTTTATCGATTTTAAAAATTCAATCTAACAAACACTAATCGCGATACAAAATAGAACTAGAATTCTTAGATGTACCTGAATAGCTAAATTCTTTATAATTTCTTTCGTGTTTAACGACACATTAGTACAATGTACCAGCGTGAGATATCCAGGTTAACTTTTATTTTTTGTAAAGTAAATAATATATTATAGGACATCAACATATTTAACTGATATTATTATTATTGACATTCCAGTTCTATATAAAAAATGATGTGAGAGATAGTAATGACTTTTCATTGTACATCAATATTTATTTTGTATCAGTACACAAATAAAATTTCTGAATTATCTAATTCTTAAGTGAAGAGAAAATAGGATGCAAAAAAGTTGATTCAATTTATTTTCAGGATAATATAAATCTAAATAAACGGAAATACGTAGTATGCGTTTTTTTCAACGTCATACCTTCAGAAATATTTTTCTTTACAATTGTAATAGTCAGCCGGGAAGATCCGAACACTTATTGCATTAGTCAGTAACACAGTTGACATATTTCTCAGCATATTCGTAAAAGTACTAATGAAATGTTTATAATAGCTTATCTCTTAGCGTTTGATTTAATTCCCCAATTCCAAACTATCATAAGTTGTCTTTTCAATCAATTGAAGTTTTTCTATAAAATTCATTTAACATATCTATATCAGTTATTAAATAAATGTTTTGTATATGAATAAAAACTACTTTACAAGATTTTGATTATAAGATCATGTTTGTCAAATTAATAATCGAAATAAAAACAGATAAAAACAACAACAGTAGCAGCAGCAGCAAGAATAAGAAAAAACACCGTTGGGCATTAGCAATTGAGAAAAGAGAGAGGAAAAAAACACTGTGTTACAGTTACAAAAAAAATCGAGAATAAAAAGGTCGAGTAAAAAGAATGTCAATTCACACATGGCACACAAATCAGCGTAACTATACTAAAACATTTTGATGAAATAAAAGAAAAACTATAAAGCATGAAATAGAAAATGTTTTTTTTTTTTTGTAATAAAGTTTGAAGTTGAAGAAAAAGAAAACAATGTTTTTACGAAAATAGATAATGTCATAAAGACATAATGTTGTTGATTATATTGACTAGTGTGCATTGATATTTCACACAAGTTTTATTTCTAAGATGAACGTCTTTTCTTTTTCTTCTTATGTAAATTATCACCAGCACGAATAGAAACTGGTGCATAAGCAAGATGTGCTCGATTTTGACCAGGTACTTCAACTGAACATTGAAAATACATTTGTTCAGCAGGTGTATCAGCAGTTGGAGCTATTATAACACTATTTCCTTGTTGCTATTCAAATAGAAAATGAAAGTTAGAGAAATTTCTTCTTATTTATGAATACATACATTAGCATAGTTGGGTAAACTTGTATCATGTGCATATTTACCCCATGTAACAGTATATTGTTGAGCACCTTTGATATGGCATGTTATATTGGCTTTCTCACCACGTCCGAGTGTTACTTCAGTTGGTTCAACAGTTACTTCAACAAAATCACCTTGTTGTTGCTGTTCACCACCATGATCATAACTTGCAGCTGAACCAGCAGATCCACCTGAGAGATTAATATGTATACTTAAAGATAACAAAATAATTGCTTATTTACCTTCAATTCGAAGATCATAACTAGCTTCTCGTGGACCAACTTCAGGTGCACGTGGAAAACTAACTTCACATCTAAGGAAATAAATACACAAAAAATATATAAGATTTGAAATAATTAATTCCTTACCGATAACGTCCAGCATCATTTGCTTGAGCATTACGAATAATTATCAAACCACTTGGATGTACTTCAACATCTAATAAATATTAAAATAAATATCAATAAAAATTATCTTTATTGAATCCTACTATTTTCTAATGATCGACCATCTTTTGTATATGTATATTCATATGGTTGTTCAATACTTCCATAAACTGAACATTGTAAATGTATATCACGTCCAATTTGATGACTTTGTTCATCACGTGATTCAAGACGTACATCAATATAACTACGTGAAGCATCATCATGAGAAGCACCTAAGAAATAAAATCAAATCTATATTAACAAATACAAAGTAAATCCGCTTACCATAACTACCATGTTGTCCAGCTAAAAAAAACAAAGAAAAATTAAAAAATATTAAAGAAAATTTACAAAAAAAAATACTTACATGCTTCTTTCCATTGAACATTAATTGTTGATGAGACACGACCATATGGATTTACAACATCAAGAGTATATCGTCCACCAATATCGCTTGATCGACCTTCAATACGTAATGCTCCATCACTACGTGCAGTTACACCTTCAGGTAAATATGGAGTACCATCTTTTGACCAAGTTATTGTTGCTCCACTTTCTCCCTAAATATAGATTCATAAATTTTCGAATATAAATATTTTTGTTTTCTTACATGAATGGTAGGTGCAATATCGATTGTTTCACCGTAACCAACTTGATATTGATCTTGTTGAATACGAATTTGTGGTGCACCTGATTGTGGTACACGTCCTCGACCACGTCGTGGTTCAACATTAATATATAATTCTTGTCGATCTTCACCATGTTGATTACGTACAATAACTTGATAAGTACCACTTGCATCAAGTGTTGCACGTTGAAGTGTAAGACGATCTTGTTCAACAGTAAATAATCCTGGAATTGGTTGATGACCTTGATCAGTTAATTTATTCCACATGACTTCAATTGGATCTTGTGACTAAATAAATAAATAAATAATTCAACGAATTTATTTATAATTTTTAAAATGAAACTTACGCTAACGGTATATCGAACAATCATACGTTGACCTTCTTTCAAATTTATTGTTCGTGGTTCAATTCTTATTCTTGGTGGACCACCTAAATTAAATCATATGTTTATAAATACAAATAATTAGCATATTTTTTATTTATTTACTAACCACTAACTACAGGTGCTCGACCATCATGTTGAACATGAATAACATATGGAACAGTAATTGGTGTACCATCAGGTCCATATAATTCACAATAATAAGTACCCGAATGATCTGGTCGTGCACCAGTAATTTGTAAACCATTACCATTTTGATAAACACCAGATGGAAGTGCTTGACCACCATCTCGACGCCATTGAGCTCGATAATATGAACCTTGAGGTTGAATTAAATGACTTGTACCTTCATTGATGGTCAATGGACTTGCTGGACTAAATACAGGATAACCATAACTAGGAACTGCTGGTTGTGGTTGACCTAATAACGGATAATATGGTTATAGGAAACATTTTGTATTGATGAGGAAAAAATTAATTAACCTGGTCGATAATCTAAATAAATAGCTACACGTTCGATGGTACCATCTGGATGTGTTATTGTAGAAATATAATTGCCAGCTTGTTCAGCAGATGGATTTCGGAAGACAAGATCATTGCCTTCTTGAACAACACCTGCTGGTAATGGACTACCATCTGTACGACCCCATACAACTGATTGTGGATGAGTATTCTAATAAATAAAAATAAAATGCATTTATAGGAAAAAAATCTATAAGACAATAATTTTGTGACATACAAGAACTTGAAGTGGAATACGTTGTTCTGGTTGACTACCATCTAATACAATACTTAATGGAGTTGTACCAGATGCATCATACGGACGATGATCAATATAATATGAACCTCTTGTACCAGGTACATATGGTTGTGGTTGTGGTTGATCTAAAAAGATATTTTTATATTTTCATTTTTGCATATTTTATATTTTACATGGTGAATATTGATCTTGTCGTACACATTGATTTATTCTTGCATCAAGTACATATCCTGGATGACATCGTTCACATCGATCACCTTCACTATTACCTTGACAATCCTATTTTAAAAAATAAAAATATTTAATTCAAAAAAGAAAAAACGAAAGATTGAATACATACAGAACATTTGCCAGTTTCTCGATCACATCGATCTGATCGATCATGACATAATGATCTACAAGACCAACATTGTCCCAAATAAATACCAACTAATGGATGTGGACGACCATAACCGTCGGCACATTTTTCACATGATGTACCAGTATAATTAGCTGGACAACGACATGATTCAACTGTTAATGCAGCATCAGCATAACCATCTCGAGCAGCAACGTTTAATGTAACACCACTCAAACTAGAAATTAAACAGAAATTTATAAAAAATAACTAAACAATTAAATTCTATCTTACACAGCATTACGTTTACCACCAATGGGATTTATTTTAATAAGTAAAGTATCCAAATCTGATAATGCCATAAGAATATTTTCTCGATCAATATATGTACCATCTTTACGTGTAAATGTTCTCTAGAAATAAATATTATTTTAAAATAGATTCTTTTAATTTATTTTCTATATATATTTATTTATACCTCGTTACATGGTACTGAATAAGTAGAATTTTTACCAGCTTGAAATTGTTGACTTTGTGGAAGTTTATGAATAAGATCAATATTATTACCACGTAACCAAATCAATTCATCATTACTTGATGTTTGACCATCAGCACCATCATTAACGAAGTGTATATCAATATTACCATCATATAATGTAACAACATTACCAAGAATATCTTTTGGTGCTTTCCAATAAAGAACATCATTAGCTGGTCGACCGAGTGAACTTTGATCAAGAGCTATTTCACGTCCACCTTGACGTTGTTGAATCTTATTACCAGCTTCATAACGATCTGTAGCAAAAGTTTTTGGTACAGCATTCCAGTTATTTAATGGAAGAGGAACCTAATAGAGAAAAACAAATACAATAGAATCAAAAAATATAAAATAAAAATTTACAGCTTGTCGTCGCCAATCAGTAGAAGTACAATCAGTTGATACACCCGAACAGAAACATGCTAAGCAACCATTTGGTGTTACTGGATTTAAATAGTAATGACTGCGTTTACATTGATTACATAGATCACCTTCAACATTGTATTTACAAATACAACGACCACCTCTTTCCATATGTGTACCTGATGGATCACATCCTACTCAAATATTTCAAAGAAAAAAAGATGAACATAGATTTACAAATTGATTAATATTAAATAAATACATACGTGATGGTCTACCTGATACACAATCATAGACTGTGCCTCGACGAGCATCACCTTGATAACCTGGAGCACACGTTCCACAATCATCACCAACAGTATTATGTTGACAATTCTTAATAAAATCAAAAGATAATATAAAATGAATATTTTATTTTCATTTGATACGTACAATACATCGTCCATCAGGTGTACATTGTGTTGAATGACTATGACAATTACATGGTGATGGTGGTGGTCGTGGTGAAACTCTTGGATCTATTGCAGAGAAAAATAACAATGTGTTTTTTTTGTGTTAAGAAAGATACAAACCAGTAATAATAATATCGACAATTGCATCGGGAACAGCAAAAATAAAACCTTGATTATTAAGTGCTTCACATGAATAAGCACCACCATCAGCTGTATGAACATTAAGAACAGTAAGTGTACCAGTAACAAGACTTGGATCATGTGGATCAATTGATTGTGCCATTGTACATCGTCCATTATCTGAACCATCATTACATACATGTCCCCAATTGAGACGCCAATTAATATATGGTGCTGGTGAACCACGAGCTTGACATTGAATTGTTAATGTTTGACCAGCATTAACTTGAATTTGTCGTTGTGGTGATGAAACAACAGCTGGTTTAACTTTAATAGAAATTGAAAAAAAAAACAAATATGATAATCA